CTTACTTTTCTCTTTTTTTCTGATAGTACGTCCATTCTTCTTCGGGCCCTACCAACAAGTATTCTGGAGACTTCATGTGTAGGTAGCATATTTTTGTTTTTTGTTTTCGTTGAACCCAAATAAAGTACATCTACCGTGACACATAGCACCACATGCTAATCGAGAATTTGCGAATACCTGAGAAATGCTATGATTAACTTTGTTGTCCGATTCTTGTAGGGCCGTATAGAATTGCAATAATGGTATTCCCATCTCAAAGAAATGCAATAAAATTATGAGTATGATAAGCGTTTTCAGTAAGTAAATGGGGCTCCGACCGTTGTATACTAATATTTGATTTGTTCAGGAAGATACAATGTTGCGGCAGAAATACGAAGTTAGTTAATCAATGCTGTTAACATTATTTATGATTACTGTTGTCATTTGCTTTTAACTTTTCGATTACTCTTATCTAATACTTTAAAGCATAACTATCAATAAAACAAAACTAATTGAGAGTGTTAATAAAATATATAAAAGCCGGGCTGCTAATCCAGACTTTGAATTGTTATTAATTTTTGGACATACGTCATAAACATTAAATTGTTTTTGAAGGACAAGATTGATATTTATTTATATTAAAGAAATTTAACAGAGCCTCAGTACTATATTTACTTTTTATAGGCACAAAATCGCATTGCTCATTTGCCATGTTAATTTTTTGATATACGGACTTAATCGTATTATTGTACCAACCTCACTTTTGTCTGCGACAATTCAGAGCAAACTCTGATCCCTTGAAAGTCAGATGTGGGATTAGTGCCATGGAGGAGTTAGGATCCCGTCCTGTCATGATCGTGCAAATTAAGTAATCCGTTCACAATTCATGACCTACGTATCTACCGGTAATTTCATGATAAAAAACATGTAATTTGGTGAACTACATGGAGATAAAGAGGCGTATTCAAGCTCAAAGTCCATAAAACAACACAAAATAGTTGCAAAGCAAACACGGACCTCCAAAACATTAGAGGTGGGATCTGGTGCCATGTAGGACTGAGCTTGGGTTAAAGATACTACAAACTCTGAAACATCTATTTCATATTTGGATATTTTACTTGAAAAAGACGTAAATTGTTAACTGAAATTTTTCAATTGTCAATTTCAATTACTTATGCAACAATACCTTACATACCTTTATCACCTGCATACGTGGTTTTTATCTCTCAGTAAATTGGATACGTAATAGCATGATCTATGTACCTTCAATTTAAAATCAAAGTATTGAAAACACTCATGGGAGTTGAACATGGTGGAAAATAAAATCTTTGATAGGCAGGTTAAGTGAATGAACAATATACAGACAACTGTTTCAGATTTTTTGAGCAATAATCTTGACAGAGAAAGACATTCAGAGACATTACATAAATAACACATTACTTTAATTTTCATCCTACACATATTTTTGGTTTCCCATTGCAAAACATGGACACTGCCATTATATTCATATTAGAGGCGGTTAATTATTTACATAATTCACTGCTCACAGTCTTCTAATTTGTAATATATTTTTCCTTGGCACCTTTACCCATGTGTTATGAAAATTTCAGTTTCGCAGGAATAATATCACTGTTGATAAAATGTGGATTTTAACACAGCATCTTTTGAAAGCTAACAGGTTTGTTATATAAAACTTCTCTGTGAAAACTAGCTAGATTTACCCCTTGTCGTCGGTATGTAGAGTTGTCGTTCGTATCTCTTTCAGTGTATGACGCTACACTAAAAAAGAGTTCCATTAAGAGAAACTTTTGAGGTTCTGTATAATTTAGTTTTACTTTGAACGAAATCTAATATTCAAAATAAGATTACTTTATTATTACATTTACTTAAATTATGAAAATTAGATCAATTCAGGAGAAAATGACATGAACTATTTGTGGCGGATGTTTATGCATGTTTTCTGTTGAATATCATCGGAGTAATCGGTCGACACAGTAGCCTCGCTTTCGGCTCTATATAGTCAACACAAATTACTGCGCATGTTAAATGCGTGATGACCATGGGAAATTGAACATAGTTCAACTCCCAAAAAACGAGGTAATTTTTTTAACAGAAATGTTGATGAAACAAGAATATCAGCAGTCTCGTTTAAAGTCATCATTTCGTAAGTTTTATGGTTGATACAATGAACTTGTCAGCAAATGTATGTTATCACTGCGTCAAATGATGACTGACGTTTTCATAGTAATTGCAAGGCCATTATTTATTCGTTATTACCCTGCTGCCCGGTCAGACCCTCCGTGTGCTTATTATCATGACCTGGAAAAGCGGGATAACCCGTCGTCAACTCAGTGTATAAATGGTGGACTAACAATAACTATGAAAATGTCAGTCAGCATTTGACTCAATGATAAAATGTATTTGCTGACAAGGTCTTTGGATCGACCATATTACTTACGAAATGATGACTTTAAATTGTAATGATTTTAATTTTAGAACACTTTTATATGAATCTTTCTTCCCATCTCTGTCTCTATCTTTCTCTCTACAAATTTGATCATGACAAGGAATACACGGCGGGTGTAACCGGTCGGCAGGGGATGCTTACTCCTCCATGACACCTGATCCCACCTCTTATGTTTTGGAAGTCTGTGTTTGCTCTGCTTCTATTTGGTATTGTTTAATGGACTTTTGATCTTGAATACTGTTCGTTATCTTCATATGTTTCATCTTTAATACTTCAATGTAAATTGCGTATTTTGTGTCTAATTCGGACGTACATTTAAATGTACTCCAACCAACATATTATCCTTTTTTGGTCAAAAGAAATCTTTCGTCGTCGATATTAACCCGACTTTGTGGCGATCTTCTTTACTTTCTCTTTTGTAACAATATAAAATTATGTATCTCACGATAACGACAACGATTGTCCATGTACATTATAAAGGGTTATAGAAATATCTCAAGTAAGCCCTCACAGTGGCCCACTTGGTATCGCTCTCTCCTTGATCGAAAGTTTGATTGACTCAAGTCGATGGAAGGATATGGAGATAACGAACAGTATTCAATATCAAAGTATAAAATATAAAAGATAGAATATATGCCGCAACTATTACTCCACTAACCATTAAATAATTTCTTTCGACTGAGGAACGAATTAAACAGAAATCAAGTTCTACTTGGTTTGATTATGAAGTACTTTTTTCAAGATATTGAACCCCCACAGCTCAATTGCCCTGAATACAAAGTAAGGGTCTAATTTATGAAGCCCTTAATTTAGCGGTACATCGGGACATCTCTATATGAGTGAAAAATTCTCGAACACGACGTAAAATAATATACATTCAATCATATATCGTGTAAATTATCTATTTGTTTGAAACCGATATAAGGAATTTCCCTCTTCGAGCATGTTTGGGAATACGGTGTATTTCAGAACTGTTAAAAATAAAATTTATTTATGAATAATTCATAATGAATTAATGACGGATTAATATTTCTTCTCAGGCAGAGAATTTCTTGGGTTGATGCAGAAAGCAGGACGTGGAGGGATGGAAAACGTTGTCTGTATTTAACAGGAACACTCATAGACACGATTCAACTTTTTCAAGTTTGTTCCCATTCATGAAACAGCCTCTTAAAAGATATGAATCTGACGAAATTCTTTATTCTAAGGAAGTAATTTTCAATTTTTAGTCATAATTTATTCTGTTTGTCGTTTCTTTCCTTATAAAGAATAATTTGTATTGTCTTGAAGTTTACTTCGTCATTACAATTGAATTTTGTTGTGTCTACACGTACCCCGGTAGTTAAGACGGAGTGTAAGAATACATCACTTCCTATGAAATTGCATTCTCTCCTTTGGTATAAAATTGGACAGATAATAATATTTCTTTTTCATTCAACTTTTTGAGAAGAGATGAAACATCAAAGAATAAACTTGTGAATTAAATGATGAAGCAATTAGATAATCAGAAGTATGGAAGGATTGAAAAAAAATTTATAATAAAAACATTTTAAAAAATGGGGAGCTGCAAGGCAATGAAAATTATTTGATCGGAATCTCTTTGTGGATCACAAGATTTATCTCTTAATCAACCCACTTGGTTTCTTATAAAAAAAATTGTGACAGATTAGAACATATCCCATATGCTGCAAAGCAATGAAACGATAGAATGATCGTATCGAGACTGACATCTTTTAGATTTTTGCTGTCCGGGGTAAAAAAGAAAAATGACACATCAAATATTTGCGAGGTATTGAAGTAATTATGAAAGTACTATGTAAATTACTTGATGAACGTTAAGACGTAGGATAATATGTCTGTTTGAGAAAAAAATTATAAAAAATTTCATAAATTGATTAAATTATGCAACCCTTTTGTTATTTTCTTTTTGGCTTATTGTGCCAACGGTTTCTAATCTTTCTGTTAATAACAAAATGCCGATTAATGAATGTTATATCTCTTTGTAGCCTTTTGTGACAAAAATGCCAAAAAAATATTTTCTTACTTTTACTCGATTTTCCACTGGGACACGCGTGGATTAGTTCGTTTAAATCTAAACCTGATACACGGAGGTATGTCTTCTGTATGATGGGGGTACCCTACGGCTTTCCATACTTCTGATAATCGCCTGTTTTTTGGATGAATAACAGAAGAGTGAAAAAGAATGAGCGAGACGCAAGTGACGACAGTTGTTGGTCCAGGAAGTTTTTTAAAAATACAAATTGAAATTGTTCCTCATTGAGCTAAAAAAAGAAAAAGAAAAGAAACATTTAAAATTAGATCTAAAACATCTATTGCACACTTTTGGAGAAATATTGAACACCAGAGAGAGAGAAAGAGCGAGAGAGAGATGATGTATATTTCAAAATTGAATGCTTTGGAAGCTTAACTTCAACCTGAAGTTTTGCTAGTGGAGTATGAAAGATTTTTTTTTACATTTATTAAAAGAACTTAAGCATTGCTTGATAAACAACAACTGTAAGTGTGGAAGAAATTGACAAACAAGACGAACTATAAGTGCGCATATTTCTCTAGTTTGTCATGACGTGAAAAAGAAACAATCCAATATACTCTCCGCTACTTCCTGCTTTGTGTGTATTCAACACGAGAGCATGTTTAAAATCAAACTTACGTGTTCATTCTGTTTCCTAGGTATGTATTTTAATAAACTTTATCTTTTTCATCTCTTGCTATCTTGGTTCTACCTAGTTCTGTATTTTTTTTTGTCTAACTATTAACTTTTTTTATTTATTGTTTTAGTTTCCGAAATAGTCTGCTCGTGGAGTCCATGTCCTGAAAATAGACTATCATATCTGTTTAAAGAACATAGCATCAATTGGAATACGGCTGCCAAGGAATGTAAAGAAGCTGGAGGTGCTTTAGCCACGGTCATCAGCGAAATATGTACACTCAGTGAGTACAAATCCAATATCTAAAAAAATATACAGAAAAAAGAGAATTTGCCTCCAGTGAAAAAGTCAAATAAATGTAGAGAGATCTTGTTCTAGGGAATCTAAATGAAAACTTGACCTACTTCATTGGAGGTAAGAAGTCACCCTCTGGGAACTGGACATGGGAAGATGGTACTCAGATAAACCAAACACACTGGGCTGCAGGTTATTGTTTTTATTTCCTATGGAAGATATTTTTCAATACCATATGTGTTTTGAATAATTTTTATGTTCCCAACAATCGAAATGAATTTGAATTTTGACGAATATTGGATTCAAAAACTTTAAATCTGATTACTTCTTATATTGCATGATATATGGAGATAGCAAACAGTTTTCAAGCACAAAATCCATTAAAACATAACAAATCGGGAGTAAAGCAAACGCAGATCATAAACCTTAGGGATTAGGTGTCATAGAGAAGTGAATAGCATGTATAAATCTATGATTTTTTTCTGATTGCAAAGGAAATCGGAATCACTTTTTACGGCATACTTTCTTATCTTGTTTAATAATCTTCGTTTGTTTGTTGTTTAACGTCCTTCTCAAAAATTTCTCATTCTTATAGAGACGCTCCAACCACTAATAACCTCCTATTTCATAGGTATATATATTTGCCATCAAAGCAATGTTTGAATTCGTGTAAACAAAATTATTTTCCTTTTGATTTTTGATTTCGAACAAATGAAAACTCTGGGATGTGTTTAGAATTCACGTATATTATGTTGAACAAAAATATTAGTCATTAATAAAAGAGTTACTTAATTTTTAGGCTTGTTTGTTTTTCTCCTCGGTGAACTGTATTTTATGTTTATTTTAATTAATTATTCTTTATTTTTGGAACGGGATGCGTGAATAAAAGACACCAACACTTGTCACAGTTAATTTTCATCTTATTTTTTCTAAATCCCATTATGTTAATTTCCTTGTTTATCTCACTAACATTAAATTAAGATAGAGATATACGTAGATTGTTAAACAAGGAAACAAGATTGAAATAGATTAACATGCCTAAATATGAAATCACTGCCTGGGTTTATTTGTTGAATGTGTTATTATTAATAGGAATGTGTTGAGTGTAATCATTATTGGTACAATAAATCATACATGGTTAGTTTGAAGGTTCATATTATTTTTAAGTATTTATAAATAGTAATGCAATCATTAATAGTTTGGCCTACGTGTTTCATATCAGTTGTAAGACCTTTTTTTGTATTCAGCTGGACGACTAAGGAATATTGTGTCTCCTTTATCAATATATGCCTACCAACAAATTGTTCAAGATGCACATATAGTATAAGACATTACATAGATATATAGATTTTTAAGTGCATGAAAAAAGATAATTAGTTATGTAAACATCTAATTAAATAATTTAAAAAGTTTATTATTCATGATTTATTTAACCGTCTATTAGAATGACATACAGGCTGCTTCAGTTGGTATCGGTATGTACACAAATAGGCTCCTTACAGTGTTCCATTGCTAGGTATACAAAAGTACAGTCCAAAAGAAGGAGAATATCTTCCCTCTGCCTGAAATAACGGGATCAAATGAATGGGGAACGGACTATATCTTTGACAAATGTCATGAAACAGAAAACAATGTCATGATTTTTGTTTGTGCATTTTTGTGCTCGTGTATAAATAAATATAATTTCTACAAGTAAATGCAACAATTAATTATCTTATTTGTGTGAAACTAAGCACAAAGAAGAACGATCAAGTATAAAAATCAACAACGTTAAAATTTTGGAGAGGGGGGGGGGGTAGATTTCACTTTATTTTTTATTTTAAAAAATTCCTTAGATGTAATTTAACAGTGTCCGTAACTACATGGAAAATTAGTTTAACATTTATGCAAAATTTTAAAACCACTGATTACCACTCACAACAAAGAAGCACATGGGAAACGCTAAAAACGGACTTGCGTAAAACAACGAGATACTTCAGACCTGCTCTTAACAAGTTCCGGTAATAAGTTAGCATTCTTAACATCGAACTCTAGCGGCAGTACAGTTAATACATAGCAATCACTGCGGGTTGACCTGGTAACAGGGGATGCTTTATCCTCTTAGGCACCTGATCCAACATCTTAGAGGTAGCCCTTTTCCTTCAATCTTATTATTAATAACGAACAAGTCTTGTGCCTTTGAAGAAGATGATAATTTGCAATACTGTAGATCACTGAACTTTGCGAATCCTTATTTTCGCGAAATTGTCATTGCGTGGAGCCTGAGGTCCACGCAAAAAATATATAAGTGAGGCTAATCCGGATGCCCTGGACAGGCTACGCATGCGCGAGAATATTAGAGATTTGACCGTAGAATAATTCGCCTTATTTGAATTAAAATATGCCATTCATTGGCAAATCTCGCATTTAAATCTGCATATCATATTGAGATTGAATACTGTTCGTTATTTCCATATCCTTCATTAGTCCATCCGTATTTCTTTCTTTTACATGTACTTTTATATACAAACTAAACATTGATTCTATGGCACAAGAATTTAAAAATGTAAGAAAAACTTGCAGAATATGTAGATTACATCTTGAATTAAAAACTTCCTTAAGCGGAATAGTTATACCGGGTAGGTTTTATAAGATGGAACATGTCTTCAGCGGCTTTAGTTTTGTGTTTTTTCCAATGATAGATTTCTTCTGGAAATCGGGAACAGGTGTAAAGTCCCAGCCGTTATTATCTGCCGTAGCAGCGGCCAATCTATTTGTGGATGTATTAGAAAGTGCACATGGAGAAATGAGACGTTATTTTTTATTAGTTCAGTAAAACGATTCTTAATGATAACAAGTAAAAATCAAATCACGAGTAAAATATCTTAAACTTGCTTTAATCATAGTATTATTTGTTGTTATTATGTTTCAGTTTTATTGTCATTTTTCATCAGATAATTGATAATTTAATTATGGTTATATCAAAAGAGTTTACAATAGATACTCCTCAGTCCTGGAGTTTATCAGATATGAAAGGAAATCGTCATGATTTTCCGGATAATAATGACGTGGTAAACATGCATGATGAATAGAAATAGAAAGGTTTTTCAACTAGGAAAAAATTGTTTTGTATACTCTCTACAGCTGCAAATGACAAAAAGATATTTTTTCTACATTTTGCACCGCGGCTGGCAGTATAAACTTCTCTGCAGAAACCATGGGCATTATCACGTGACCATGATCCAGGGTATCAGCAGGTTGTTTATCTTGAGAGGCCTACATCTTTATTCTGATTCATGACAATAAATTCTAATCATTTATTATTGACTTTCTTTTACATCGATGAATCTTTTTATAAGCAAATGCGGTAAAATGTCATTTTTTGTATTTTTTTTTTATTTTTTATTTTGCTTTGAAGGCAGCCTGATATAAAAATGAGTCACGTTTGAATACCTTTCCTTGCATGGACTTTTTTTAAAATTATGAAATAATTCTGTTAAATGCTGCATTTTGTTTCCGGTCGATTTGATGCTTTGCATCAATTTTACTTGTGAGTTACTCGTATCAAAATAGCCTGATTTTTAAAAACGACAAAATTGTAGGCTGAATGAACATTAAATTTAACAGATTTGCAATGAAAAAACGATCAGTCATAGTAGGCAGATCATTGTAGAAAATATGAACGAACCTACTTGAATATTCACAAAACCTAGATCGAAAATTTCTTAAATTGAATTTCGGTTAGAAACACAAACATATGGTCCACGTATTGTAGTCCTTTTTTAAAGGACACTTTTTAATTTTCTGTAAGTAAAAACATATTTTTCACGAATTATAGATATTGCTCAATAAAATCTTAATTTATATTCTCGCCAGCACATTTTCTCTCGTAATTACGCGACAATAGAGTTCTCGCGAAAATGTGATTTAGAATAATTGACAATTTGAAAAAAAAAAAAACTTGAGTGCCCGTCACGTGATTAAAAATTACAATCAATTTCCCCAAAGGCGTTATTATTATTCCTTATTAAACTTTGTTCATGAATTAGCTCTACTTGCATACATATCCATAAGTTGAGACCAATACAGCTCAACTAAATTGAATGCATTAAGTATTGTATTAAAAATCTAGGCAGACTAAACATAACCTCTTGATAATTTCAGTAAAACATGAATATTTTAAGGATTGTTGGAAATTACCCGTTTTTAGGTAATTAAAATCAATTTCAATTTCTTCATTCCAATAAGTTTGTTGGTTGGAGGTCATATCTTATTTGACCTTTAGATTCTAACCCAGACTTATTATTCGTAGAGATGTATTTTATGGCAGACAAATAACATGAATGCATAAAATATAATGCTACCACAGTAAAAGTAGGTTCCTACTTCTAGATTTATTTACATCTGAATGAAATTGTAATACAGGCGACACATGCAATAACTGGGACACACTAGTTGGATATTTCAATGGATTTTTTTTGTTCCTTAAATTTCATTATGTATACAAAATATATTTTTTCCGGAGAATTTAACACACGGATGGATAGATTTGAAAGACAAATATTTGCTTTAGCAATTAAAAAACCAGTCAAAATTCTTCTTTTTTTATTATATTCGTAGCAAACTGTAGTATTTTTGCATCAAATTCGCTTAAGCGAGAACCTATATATGGAGTCGTCGATAGTTTCTAGAAATTAATTTCTTTATGAAAAATATCGTACTGTCGAGTTTGGCTTCCTACATGTTGAGGTAGATTATATTTAAAGTGATTTTATACACTTTTAGCTGTATCAACGAATAAAAAACACATTTTTCAAAAAAGAATGTTGATTAGTGTCTTTTTTGTAAATATGTAAAACTATATAAAATCTCTTTAGAGATTAGAAAAATAGCCATTATGTTAGCTCCCATAAGACACTTCCTGATCTTTCCCGTGATTTCCCGATCCTTGCAAGGAGCACACATCGGATGTGACCGATCGACAGAGAATGCTCACTCCCCGGTGACACCTGATCCAACCTCTGATGTTTTGTAGATCCGCGTTCGCTTAATGGACTTTTGAGCTTGAATTTTGTTCGTTATTCCCATACATCCTATTTGACATCTGAAAAGTATATATATTTATCCTGGTCTAATTTACATTTCTAAGACTGAATGTTTGATAAGCTAAAATCTCCCCATTTTAAATTCATGACAATCAAAATAATCATTTTGCAAAGAAGGAAACTTTATCTTGTGCCAAAATCTCTGAGATATAAAATAAATTATTACAAAAAGATTTAAAATAATGTAATTTGCTGCAAGTACTATTGTATCATTAAAATTCGTGGGCATTAATTTTCGTGGGTTAATTAAAAATCGTTGTAGGATACGTAATTTCATGGATAATGATCATTAAACCAAGACACACGCGGGTGCTAGAAATAAAAAAAACAAGATGTGTTTGTGAAACACTGATGCCCCCGTATGGCAACATTGTGAAGATTAAACTTTTCTTAGAAGCAAATTTAATATATTGGTACCCAAAGTAGACTCTCTTAACTGGAAATACAATTGTAAAACATGAAAGCCCTATCACCATCTGTTCCCAAGTTATGGCCAGGCTAAAGTTTTTTCATAAGTACAGAAATCATCAAGATCAAGGTCAGAAGGTTAAGGTTATTGGTATCCAATGAAAGGCCTTTCCACAAAGATTATGTGTTTGAAGTATGGAAGCCCTAGCCCTAACCATTCAAAAGTAATGGCCAAGGTTAATAAAAATAATATTAGTACGTTAAACTCCAAGATCAAGGTCAGAAGGTCAGGGTTTGTGGTATTGAATAAAAGGTCTTGTCACAAGAATTAAATATGTGAAGTATGAAAGCCCTAGCCCTTACTCTTCAAAAGTTATTGCCAGGGTTAATGTTTTTTATTAAGTCCGGAAATCTCCAAGGTCAAGGTCAAAGCTATTGATATCCAATAAATGCTCTTGCTACAACGAATATATATGTGAAGTATGGAAGCTCTAGCCCTAACCGTTCAGAAGTTATGGCCAAGGTTAAGATTTTTTAAAAGTAAGTCAAACTCTAAGGTCAAGATCAAAGGGTCAAAGGTCTTGGTATGAAATGAAAGGTCTTGTCACAAGGATTAAATTTTTAAAGTATGAAAGCACTACCTCTTACCCTTTAAAAGATATGATCAAGGTTTGTTATTTTAAAAGTAGGTAAAACTCCAAAGCCAAAGGGTAACGCTCTTAGTATCCAATGAAGCGTCTTCTTACAAGGATTACATGTGTGAAGTATGAATGCTCTAGCCCTTACCGTCTAAAAGTTATTGCCAAGGTTAAAGTTTTTTTCATTATTACGTAAATCTCCAAGGTCAAGGACAAAAGGTCAAGGTTGGTGGTATCCTGTAAAAGGTCTTGCCACAAAAAATATATATGTAAAGTATAAATGCCCTGGTGTCTACTGTTCAAAAGTTATGGCCAAAGTAAAAATTTGAATTTTTTGTGTAAAAAAGGGTCAAATTCCAAGGTCAAGGTTAAAAGGTCAAATTCGGTGGTACCCAAAGAAAGGTCTTATCACAAGGAGTACAGATGTAAAATATGAAAGTTACAGCTCTACTAAATCGAAAGGTATGGACAAGGTTTAAGTTTTTGCGGACAAACAGACAAACACAGAGACAGAGAGACAGCTGGACAGACAGACGGACACGACAATAACTATATACCCCGAAACTTCGTTTACTGGGGCATAAAAACTTGGAATTGCCTAACAACTTAACATAGATATTTTCTTCGATTTGTTCATCTAATATAATAAAATCTTTTTTCTCCCTTCAGGAGAACCGAATGACTCTGGAAGAAATGAAAATTGTTTACAAATGTGGTATAAAAATGCTACTTATCTTTGGAATGACATCTCTTGTGACAGTAAAATTGATGGCGGATACATTTGTCAGAGTGAGTATTGGTATTTTTATACAATGTATACAAATAAGAGATTATTATAACAACACACACATATATGGGATACATGACTTACGGTTGAATAACTGCTTGTTTTAAGTTCAAAACTTCTTTCAATCACACATCAAGTGAATTTCATTTTAAGACTCATCTATATCACCCTTGTTTATTTCATATTTCTTTCGGTCAACTTACCCAGTTAAACAATAAAATCAAAACGCAAGATATGACATGAGATATAAAACGAATTTTAAACATCTTTTAAATAAAAATAATCATTTGCGAGTGTAATGAGGTATTTTTTACTGCGTGTGTCGACTAAAGTAGTCGCCAATCCTCGGTATAGCTTGTTTTAATAAAATTATAATGAATATGATGGATTTTAAATTTGAAATTGATCAACTAACATAAGAAATAATCTTTATTAACAGAGAAATCAAGCATTACAGAGAGCAGTTTATCAGGAATAAGTGAACAACCAACAACAATAACAACAACCAATTAAAGAGACAACTATAAAAAGGATAGGTAATGATTACCTGTAACGTGTAATCGCTACTCACTAGAATTATTTATATAATTGTACAGTGAAACGTATGAAGATAACGAACAGTATTTAAGCTCAAAAGTCCCTCTAGAGCAGTTAGAGCACGGACCTTTTATGCATGGGAGGCGGGATCAGGTGCCATGAAAAACGAAAAATAAAAGAGTTCAGTTATCAATTATTAAGGTCTTCCGCTCAGGTGGAAGAGCTTCTACTGATTCGGATGGTTAAGATTATTCCCTATTATTCTTTTTTTTCTAGACGCCAACTTTGAGACCTCATAACTCGCTCATTTCTTATCGGATTTCGCTCAAATTTTCAGAGTTTTCAAACGTTGCAAAATTTAATTAAAATGTATTCGAACAAATTTAAAAAATTCTCTTCCGCTGTCGAGTTATTTCCCTTTAAATGAAAATTTGGTACTGTTCGTTTCCAGACAAAGGGTCAGAAACGACAAAAGCCGGAGCAGAAATTCTACTGAATTCAGATACTAGAAGAATTGAAGTTGTGCACATCGGTTTTTCTTTTTCGATTTCTGCACCCAAAACGGTGCTAGATAGGGGTCATAAATGAGAATGCCTAAAAGCGCAAAAATTTACATATATTTCCTTATGTATCTTTTAAACTAAAAATAATTTGTTAAGACATGTTGAACAAATGTTGTGCATAATTTTAAGATCTATCATTTGACATCATGAAAAAGGGACTGGCCCCTCAAATTAGGAATCTAGGGAACTTGAAAGTTTTTGCTCTATAACTCAAAAACTCTAAATAATTCGATATGGTTAACGATATGAAATGGATTCTTTAACATGTTATTGATCTCGTGAAAACGTTATTTTGTTTGAGTCATGTGTTATTAAATGAGCAGAAAAGTTTATAATCAATGTACTGGTAAGTGATTTTATACGGCAGGTGAAGAATTCTTTATGCGTATAACACGTGTAACTGAAATAGACTGGATAAGAATAATATACCTAGCTAAATTGAATGTTAAACTTTGTTGAAATAAGGTTTTTAACGTATTCTGGATGTCATACAGATTATTCAGAGACAACTTTCTCCTTGTGTTTAGTTTAAATAACAAAACGGGAGAGTGGAAAAATACTTATCATCTTTCCTTTGATTAATATTCAATGTAGCAATATTCATAAAGACTAGAGCAAAGCTCGTTGCAAAGCAAAGAGTAGGTCTTCCGTCCTGTTTTGACCGGAAGTGACGTCAACAAAATAAAACAATGAGCTAAGTCGTCTCCAGTCACTTTATAATTTAAATTTTGCATCAAAACCTTAAAAAATAAGCTAATTTTGGCTTCTTCCGGTTTGACCAGATATGATGTCGACGGATGGAAAATTAAGTTTTATGCTACCAGTGACATATGTTGCCCAAAAACTTGCCAAGAACGGCAAAAATATGCATTTTCTGACGACTTCCAGTTTGACCAAAAGTGACGTCACCGGACGCATTTTGACGACACCAATAGATTAAGCTTGACATTTTGAACAACTTTGCTTCTTGGACGTATTACAAATTCTCAATCCTTTTTGAGATATCTGGAAAAAACCTTTGGGCCCTCTAGATCCCTTAATTTAGGGGCCAGCCCTTTTTTTTTAGGATATCATTTCAAAGATCTTGTAATTCTGCACAAATTTTGTTCTATGTTTTAAAAATTTATTTTTAGTTTAGAAGATAAAAAGCAAAATATGTGTAAATTTTCGCTCTTTTAGGCGTTCTAATTTTTGACCCCTATATACACACTGTAGCACCGTTTTAAATAGAGGAATAGAAAAACAAAAACCTACGAAAGCCCAGAAGGCTCATTCGAGATTCGAGTTTCCAAATACGAGATTCGAAATTCGAGATTCAAAATTCGAAATTCGAGATTCAATATCCAAACGAACCAATCAAAAGCGAGTTCAACATTTGATTACTCCCCTTTATTATGTTCTTACTATCAAGAAATAATTCAATATAATTATATCAAATGGGTCATTTGATTAAATTACAATGCAAGAAAAAGTGTTATATATATTAGACGTAAATTTAAATAATTAATGGATTTTTGATCAGCAAAAAATATATCAATTTATATTATAGATTTTTAAATATTAAATAGATTACATATATCAGGAGTATTATATTTTTGTATCGTCAACTAATTACCGGCCAGGAGGCGGTCGGCTCTATGATATGAAAGTTCGAAGTCGCTGTGCGTTTTTGCGGTGTGAAAACAATTTAAATAAAAAATATTTAACATTAATATAGTAGTATATCAAAAAGAGCGTCTAAAGGTTAAAGAAGAACGCATCATAAACATAAAATTAAAAATTCTTATGAAGAATGAGGTAAATATTTCATCCAATCCTATTTATGAACTTAGACATGTTTGAGGTGCGGAGATGTGTTGGGCGTAGTCTAAAGCAAAGACCGCGTTATGTATATTACGCAATTTTACTTTCTCCATTCAGACGGGATTTGTTGTACGCATTTATTTTAAAATGACGTGTACATATGTACATATATAAACATTTTGAAACATATGTTTAAATGTTAATTCATTAAAAGACTTAGCAGGCTACAGAATAGAATATTACAAGATTTGGCCCTTAGCAGACGAGGATAATGCACGTTTTACAATGTGCCAAGAATTTTCCCGCTACAACTCAAAGAGAAGAAATGTAGTGGCGGATCTAGAGGGACCATAAAAGGAACAATTAATTGGTTTGCGGCCGATTTTTGACGCTTGCGTCAATATAATTTATGTTTCTTGTGTTAATTTTTAGAAAAACACAGGTACGTGTGGACAAGACCCCCCCACCCCCATCCCCTTGATATTGAACCCCAGGGCTTATTTCTCTGTTATGTGTAACCTTACAATACGAAAAAATTGCTGGCGTAAAACCCCCAGAATAATCGCTCAATCAAAAAAAAAACAAAACAAAACAAAACAAAAAAAACACAATTTATTACCCCACTTTACAAGAAAGAATGCTGTTTCGGAGAAAATGTGAGATTATTACGTGATGCAGAGTCAGTCCGATAGCATGGAGTAAGACAGAAATACATTGTATATTTAGAGACAGTGCAGTGGCGGATCCAGAGGGGGGGGGGGGGGGGGGGAGGTTCCGGGGGTTGCAACCCCCCCCCCCCCTTTGGATTTGCAATTTAAGAGAAAGAGAAATAAGAAAGTTCCAATTTTTTCGTTGTGTTTTTACTATAGGAAATGTAAGGTGAAAGGCTAATGTTGTATTATATAAAGAAATTCGGTTGTAAAAACAAAATAAAAACCCTCCCTTTACAAAATAGGATTTTCAGGTTCGGAGATTTATTTCCCTTTCTTTTTCAAAAACTTTCTGGTAATGTATACAAGTACTTTTTCCCAGATTGATCAACGTCCCGCTTTCAAAAACCATACTCCACCCTGAATCGATATTCTATTGAGTTATTTAACGATATGTATGTGTACAACGTACGTTTGAACTGTTTTCGCCTTCAACCCCCGCTTCTGAAAAATACTTCACCCCCCCCCCCCCCCTTTGAAAAATTTCTGAATCTGCGCCTGCAGTGTGAATCGACATTTTTAAATGAAAGTAAAGGATATTTTACAAAATAGGCAATTTTCAAACAAATCTTCGATTACATTATTCCATTTGGACTACATTGATGTTGTTTTCAATAAAATATCAAATATTCCTCACATTCGATGTGCCGCCTATCAGTATAATACTGCCTGGTTTTTCGGTGGACTGCCTCTTAAATGCATTTATTTTGTTTTAACTTTTTAAAGTTAAAACAAAATAAATGCATTTAATACCAGAGGGGGTACAACGTAAACAGACTAGAGTGGCATATCTTTCTCTTATAATGTAATGTGGGTATTTGGGGGGATGTTGAGCGAATATTCTGGGGATTTTACATTTTTTTGTTATTGTATACATGATGAATAAGTTAAATAAATATATCTTGTGAAAAAAATTTCCAATAAGCCCTTGGGTTGAATATAAAGAGAGTGTGCGGGGGGGGGGGGGGGTGTCCCGCCCACAAGTACCTGTAGTTTTCCTAACAGAAGAAATTCATAAAAATGACGCTTAGTAGACAATTCAAAAATGTATATACTCCTGATATATGAAATCTATTTAATATTTAAGAATCTATAATATAAATTAAAATATTTTTTGCTGATCAAAATTCCATTAATTATTTAAATTTCCTTCTAATATATATATAACACTTTTTCTTGCATTGTAATTTAATCAAATGAACCATTTGATATAATTATATTGAACTATTTCTTGATAGTAAAAACATAATAAAGGGAAGTAATCAAATCTTGAACCCGCTTTTGATTGGTTCGTTTGGATATTGTATCTCGAAACTCGAATTTTGAATCTCGAATTTCGAATTTTGAATCTCGAATTTCGAATCTCGTATTTGGAAACTCGAATCTCGAATGAGCCTTCTGGGCTTTCGTAAAAACCGCTATGCACAACTTCAATCCTTCTATTGTGTAAAATCACTAAAATTTCTGCTCCAACTTTTGCCATCTCCGAGCCTTTGTCTGGAAATGAAAGAAATTAAATTTTCGTTTAAAGGGAAATAACTCATAACCGGAAGTGAATTTTTGGAATGCTAGACAAAATTCTGATAGAGTTAAGTAACGTCTATAAACTCTGAAAATTTGAGCAAAATCCATGGAGAAATGAGAGAAATATGAGGCCTCAATTTTTTAATCATCAGAATCAGTAGAAGGTTCCGTTGGAAATGGAAGACCTTAATAAATTCAGGCTTAAGTTAATTCTTTGTCATTGAATTCAAGCATCGTGAAATTTCCTCGGACACTGACTGAGGTCAACATTACTGCTCTTCGATTTTTACTAGAGTCCTAGATTTAAAATCAAGAAAATATGTTATTTGCGTAATCGTAATAATATTTCTAGACACAAATATGAAGGTTTTCTTGA